CCTCCTCAGCCTGACGGGCTGCAGACAGCCCAGCCAAAGAGTTGATGGTTTTCACACCCCGTCAGCCTGATGAACGGCCTCGCTCCCTCGGCGCTCAGCGCCTGCAAGGGTCAATTACAGCGATTACTTCAAGGAGTCAAACTGGCTGCCGGCAGCGCTGGAGAAAATCTTTGTTTCAGGTTCAGCTTTGTCGCAGGAAGGAAAGAAGAGCCTGGGAGTGCGGCGGGGGGGGAAAGAGCCTCTACAGTACGCGGGGCAAAAGTCAGGGGGTGGCCGGGTGTTTGTGGGGGAGGAGGGCTCCCCCAGGGCCAGCTGCCCTGTTCTGCTAGCGCAACTCTGAGCAGCAGTCGAGGCTTGTGCAGCCTCCAGCCCTCTCGGTGACCCAAGAAGGGCCTAAAAGCAGCCCAGCTGTTGTAGGGAGAAGCTAATGAGGCATCTAGTGGCAGAGAGAACCTTCAAAAGTGGATGCGGTGCTGTAATGTGAGAAACAGAAAAGAGCAAAACCCTGGCAAGTTAAAAGTAAAGTCACAATAAAGGTGATTTAAAAGTTTGGGGAAAAGTTTGGGTGAAAGCACCTTGCTATATATATATATACCTTGCTAAAGGTATTAAAAGCTGAAAATAAGCACGTTTACATACGTGCCAGGAGCAGGAAACCAGCCAGCGAGGCAGTGCAGGTCGTGGATGATGGAGGCATGAACAGAGCACCCAGGGAAGGCAAAGCCTCAGCAGAAAAGCTGAGGGGTGGTTTGAAGATCAGGGAGGATGCTCAGGCAGTGCCCCCGCGGCAGCCTTCCTGCAGGGCTGTGCCAGAGGGCCCATCCCACGGCAGGGGCCTGCTGGAGACGTCTTCCAGCAGAGCGAGGAGCTGCGGAGTGGCATGTGTCCAGGGCGAGGTGATGCCAGCCCAGCCGGGGTCGGTACGCTGCCCCTCCTGCCAGCCTGGGGCAGAGCGTGGGGAAAGGCGATATGAGCCGTAGCCAGAGGGGCTCAGGGGATGTCACGGGCAATTTTGGGAGAAGTCATCTATAACAGTCTGGGTCAATACAGCATTTGGGGAAGACTCAACATCACCTTGCAAGAGGAAGCCATGCCTCGCAAATCAGCCAGGTCACTAAGTGTGGGGAGCAGAGTGATGCGTCGGTCATGGGGCAGTGGCTCTTCCAAAACGGTTTTGCCTCGGCACCTCTCCAAAAGCCCCTGAATGCCCAATGGACAGGAGAGAGATTCGCCTTGCAGGGAGAAAACCACTGGTTAGAAGACTTGGGGTCACCAAATGTAAAGCTGACTGCTGAGCAGGAGCTCACAGTATTAAACTTCAGGCTGGTAAGCTGGCAGATGAAACTCAGTATTGATAAAGGCAAAGCAACAACCCACAGAAAAGCAGCCCTAGCCATGCAAAACACTGACCCCCTCTTTAGCGATGCTGGGTGAGAGTCAGAACAGCAAGCATAATATGTGATTAGGAAGGGAAGAGAGAACAACTAAATAGATTCTCCTCTGGAGTATTATGTGCAGCTCTTTTTTCTCAAAAAGGATGTAACAGCAATAAAGGAGTATGAAGAAGGGCCTTAAGGATGCTTGGGAGTAGAGTTTGGAGGCATGGTGAGGAAAAATCAGGAAAGATCAGATGTCCAGGTCACATAAGCTTGGAAAAGCTGAAGGGAGATGATAAAGGTCCCGGGAGCCAGAGTGGCAGGTGGAGGGAATGCTGGCATCAAAATGGGAACAGTGAAATCACAGTGAGAACAAGTCCAAAACAAAGAGGAGGAAGCCCTTGCCTTCACCAGGCACTGCTCAGCTGCGAAACCCTCTGCCACAGGCTGTTGTGGCAGGCCCAAGCGCACAAGGTGGGGAAAGCTGTGCCCACTGATGCTCTGAGTCAACCTGACACACCAACTGCAAGCAGCTGGGACGGAGCTCTCTCACACCCACCCAGCTGCCCTGCTCCCCTGCCAGCCCCGTACCTGCCACTGTCACAAGCGAGGTGCTGGGGACTGGCACCGCTCCTGCAGGAGCAGGAGTACTCCAGCACCTGGTGCCCTGCAAGCTGACGATCCTTGGCCTGGGAAAGGGGTGAAGGAACCAGAATACCAGACCATAAGGCTTGAGCTGAGAACACGGAGGCACCTTCTGAGATGCGAAGAGTTGGGCAGGGAGCTGTGCCCCGGTGCTTTGCTTCCCATGTGCCACGCTCTGGCTCTGAGCTGCCAGGCAGAAATCCTCCCCTGCCTGCCACTGCTGCCTCGTCTGCACAGCGCCTTCATCCCTCCCTGGCTTTTATGAGCAAGAATCGACCAAGATTTTCTCTGTCAGACTGAAAAATATCTCGAGTCAGGAAGAAAAAGAAGCTGAACCTGGCTCTGCGTCTCACCGGGGCTGTCCTGGGCGTCTGGGCTGCGGGTGCTGGATGCACAGCCTGGTGCACCCACAAGCAAAGCGAGGTGGCGGGGCAGCAGGGCTCAGCTGTCAGGGCAACGTGTGGCTTTTGCCAAGCTGTTTTTCTCTGGTGCAAAGCCATTTGCTGCCTATAAGGCTGGCCAGCCCTGCTCTGAACCTGGAGCACCGGCAGGAGAGCTCAGCATCCTCCGCAGCTCCACACCAGCGTCCAACCCCCGCAAATGCCCAGCCGTGGGCAGCTCCCCCGGGGTTCCTCCTGCCCGCAGCAGGCAGCCTGGCCAAGCGCCCGTGCCCGGCACCCCGCCACCCG